TTTTGAAAAAAGTGTAAAGAGCTTAGCTTTATGTATTGTAATTGATATTCCTCGCATTGATTGTTGATATTAAGTCGATTTTGGCAAGATTCAATTGGTTTGGAGGTGAATTGTAGAGGAAAGGCCCCGGTTGAGCTTTGATTTTCTTGTGAGGCGAGGTAAGTTATTGGGTCTAACCTTGATTTGAGGGAATTAGGAATCCTTGAGCTATGTGCTATATGAATTACATGTGTAGCAGCGTATATGCGAGGTGACGAGTGTATATACGCCATCAAAATACCTATTCCCATGATTTCCCGTATTTTGTTAATTATTTCATTCTGTGTCTTATATGTTACATGCTTTAATTGCTTCCTATGCCTTAACTTGCTACTTGCCACTTATTTCTCTCATATTAAAATGTTTCTTCCATGCTTCCATGATTAATTGTTACTTGCCTTAAATGTCTTACTTATACACTTTAATTGTCATATATTTGACTTGTCTTGTTGCTTTGTATTAATTATATTCCTTGATTTGGTACGAGGTCCCTTTATGGCTTTTCTTTCATATACTTTAATCGTAGTGATTCTTGAGAATTGAGTTGTTGAATTGATTTCATTTATCAATTTTGTTTATGGATCGGATTGCACGCCGTAACAGGTGGAATAAGGGAAGATTGATATTGATATGGTGGGATCGGGTTGTACGCCACAACAGGTAGAATAAGGGAGGATTGATATTGATATGGTGGGATCGGGTTGCATGCCACAATGAGTTTTATATGTAATTTTGATATGTTGAAATAATGGAGGATTATGATATTGATTCTGATTATATGGTGGGATCGGATTGCACGCCACATCAGATTTAATTGTTATTCCTGATATTGAAATTGTGAAATAATGGAGGATATTGAGTTTACGGTGGGATCGGATTGCATGCCACAACGTATTGTGTGTTTTGTATTCCTTATTACATTGTGTTAGCTTTCAGTCTTTTCATACGAGATTCTGAGGACCGGTGTTTCTGGTTTTACGGATTTCGAGGATTGAGCTTATTTTTATCAGTTAAAAGCCTTACTTTTCTTTGTTCTCTTCCTGTTATTATTATTATTATTATTATTATTATTATTATTATTATTATTATTATTATTATATTATTATTATTATTATTATTATTATTATACTGCATACAGGTTATTGTAAGTGACACACCTTAGCCTCGTCACTACTTCGTCGAGGTTAGGCTCGGCACTTACAGAGTACATGGGGTCGGTTGTACTCATACTATACTCTACATTTCTTGTGCAGATTGTGGAGTCAGTCCTAACGGCGGTCAGTAGATTGCTAGGATTGATTGCCAGACGGAGACTTGAGGTACAGCTGCTCGGCGTTCGCAGCGCTGAAGTCCCCTTCTACTTTATCCTAGATGTTTATTTCATTTCAGATAGTTTTACTTTCATTCAGACCACTAAATGTATTATTTTAGTCGTTTGTGCACTTGTGACACCAGTTGATTGTATCTAGATACCGATGATATTTTGGTTGTTCACTCTATTTTAGATTTATTTTAGTTATTTCGGTTCCTTGATTACTATTTAATTTGAACTGTTAAAAATGGATAAAAACTATTCTAACATTGGCTTGCCTGGCAAGTGAAATGTTAGGTGTCATCACGGTCCCGAGGGTGGGAATTCCGGGTCGTGCCACTTTAGCATTCACATCAATAGTAATTTCTGAAAATAGTGGAGCAGAAGAACAACAAGTGGTTTAAATAAAAGGAAATTGGGAGATTTTGGATTACTTAACTGATCAAGGGGTAATTTTTAAAAGTTTGCTGATGGTAAGGGTAAATTTGGCCGGATAGTATAACGAAGGTTAAATGTCGATAATATTCGAAAGTAAAGAGGTTTATTTGGCCCTTTTCCACACACAAAAAAAATACTTTTGGCTAAAAAAAAACTTGACTAAATATGCTATATATCAAAGACAATGACATACTTTTCAGTATGAATTTAAGTTATATACCAGGTAAATAATTTTTATACTTATAATTTAATCTGTTCAAGCAGGTTTTTAGGACCATTTATTTTAGGTTTACTAATACATGTTACGGGTATTACATAGAGTTGTATACAAACCTTTTAATAATTTGTTTGTGAATATTTTGTTGCCATCAGTGTATTATGCGAACATAAAACTCTTTTCCTATTCCCTGCATGAGTTCACGAAAGTTAATAATAGGCCAGACAAAATGATAACCAAGTAGCACTAGAAGAGTCTTATCAACCCATGGTTTCCCTAGGAAGCGGAGATGGAAGTTTTCTCAATTCCAGAACTTCTTTGTATGTTGGTTGCAAGCTAGAGGAGTACTTCACTCATAAGGATTAACTAGTTTAGCCACAAAGATTAAACTTGTGCCATTATCTTGTTCATGGGTACGTACGTAGATATAACTGATGGAGGAGAATTTTTTTATTTGTTGCAGATGACAATGATCTTGTACGAGCTAGACTTTAAGGCTACACCCCCAGGCCAGTAGTATCAATTACCCGGCGGTCTAATGAAGACACTGTATTAGGAGAATTATCTCTACCAGCTGGCATCCTAGTCTCTTTGCCAGTGATCTTGTTGCATCATATATGATGGAGAGATATGGGGCAAAGGAGTTCAAACCAGAGAGATTTCGAGGAGGATTATCAAGTGCAACATAGGGTCAACACACATATTTTCCCTTTGGTTGGGTGCTCCCAAGTCCATATTAACTAGTACTAGTGAAAGATGACTTGTTATATGTTTAAGTGAGCTCTTGCAGCTTATAAATCAGGATCCACTAGCATTATAACTCTATCTGCTAATCTTTGTTAATTTTTTTCTTCTAAAGCAAGTGCTATTAATTAGTAAGGGCTAAATTAAATGAAATATGTTCTTTTTATACATACTAGTCTCTAAGAACGTGCGTTGCACGTTTAACCTAAAATATTTAGCATGTAAAGTGTATCATAAAATGATAATTGTTAACGGTACACATTTTAGAGCTTCCTCTGAGCTTTAAAATGTAAATCAAAACATACAAAAGTAACAGTTTGTTATTTGACGTCAGAAAATCTAATAAACGCCAATTTTATTTTTCTGACATAATACTTTTATTTAATGCTAAATACATACATGAACAATAATAAAACATGCATATAATCATCATACTATATTATAAGTGTGAAGTCAAAAATTTAAAGTTAAATTACTAAATTACCCATTAAAAGTTGAGTGACCTTTTTATCCTTTAACAATTAAATTATTCTTTCAAAATCTTCTAAAGTTTGTACTTTACAAACATAAGAATTGTTCAAGTTCCTTTAAGTGAATAAGAGTTCACAACCCAAGAGCATATCGTACAAGGCTTTGTATTTGATAATACAAATCATACTTATCAGTTTTTTATGCCTACATTACCGGTGAATATATTTTTTATTATGTGATACATGACTTCTTAAATTAAGCTTCACGTAACTGCAAAAATGTGTGCATGCATGCATGCGGGTGTATGTGATTCCCTTTTTTTGATAGACTATTGACTATATAATAGGACGACTTTGATTCTTAACAAAATCTTCTATTTCATTTAGTGATATCATGTATTAATTTTTATTGTTGTCATGTGTAAAAAGTCATATAAATAATACAACTATTGTAATGAGCTACAAACTAGATCTCCTTTGGATAACATACCTCGGTATGCACTCACATGAGCTTTTACCTCTACATTTCATGATTCATTAGTATTCCATTGTTTATCAATTTTCTTTAGGATTTAAGAAAAGGGAAAAACAAATTATTTGAATAAGGTTAATAAAGGATACTACCTAATTAGGCATAACAGAAAAGAACATGTAAAGAATATAACAATATGGAAACATTAAAGATTAAAGAACACTCAAAGCTATGCAGAAATTCAACAAAGAGATCGATTGGCCTACCTGATATAACGATAGAAGCTTTAATGGAGTAGTGAAGGAAAAGATGAAATGCAACGTGATTCTTTTGAAAAAAAATCTGATTGTTGTGTGCGTGAGCCATGTCCTGGTTGCTTATATGACATTTAAGTGAAAAATGGTGTGCATATTGGATTTGGGTCCAAAGAAATAGGACAACCTCTTCCGTTAGAATTTGAAAAGTCAATTATCTATGGGAATTGCAAAAATCGATTGGCTATTGAAGACATGATATGGTACGTGCATAGTAATTCTAAAACATTCACTCAGAAAACGTGTGCATAACTGCATATGATGTTAATAAATTCACTGGATATTAATGTAAAGAACAAACTTTAGAAGATTTTGAAAGAATAATTTAATTTAATTGTTAAAGAGTAAAAAGGTCACTCAACTTTTAATGGGTAATTTAGTAATTTAATTTTAATTTTTTAGTTTCACACTTATAATATAGTACGATGATGTTATACCTTCGAAGCCACACATTTGAACTAAACAGTGAAGTCATGCGATATATTCAAGAAAATGAGAATTAATTTATTAAAAATGGATAGACCAAATTCTCACATGTACCTTTTATTATTACCACCTTCTTTTTTTATGTCAAAGATCAGAAGCTATGCGCAAATTCTCATTGTATCTCGATTGTTCTTAACGTTCGATGGCTATTCATTTGCCTTCGGGTAGCACCACTAATCTTCAGGATCGGGATTAAAAAAAAAATCATTTTCAGCACAATTGTCTGTAATACCTTTAATAGATTTAATTTGGTGTCCTTCTTACACAAAAAAAGTAAAGGCCAGATAAAAAATGAGATTAATACCATATATAAGATCTTTTATTAAATAAATAAAATGTTGCCACTTATGGTGTTTTCCAGAAGAAGAAAAAATACATATTATCATCATGAAATGTGTGGCTATAATAGTCAGATACGCAATTAAACCTCAGATATTTGCCTTTTCACGTCATTGATGACGACTTCATTTTGTTTTCTTCCCCACGAAAATGGTAGATATGATATGGAGGGCAGTAGGGGAAGAATTACTGGGACAAACCTAGAGAGTGAAAATGGACGCACTACTTCAAATGACAGTAACAGCATCTTGTGCTGCCATAGTAATTACTCTGCTGGTGTGTATATGGAGAGTGCTGAACTGGATTTGGTTCAGACCAAAGAAATTGGAGTTGTTGTTGAGAAAACAAGGTTTGGAAGGAAATTCTTACAAGGTTTTGTATGGGGACATGAAAGAGTTTTCTGGGATGATTAAGGAAGCATACTCAAAGCCTATGAGTCTATCTGATGATGTAGCACCAAGACTGATGCCTTTCTTTCTTGAAACCATCAAAAAATATGGTATGTTTTTGCAAAATCATATCACTTCTTGGGTAGTTATAGGTAAATTTCTTGATAAATGTTAATTTGCAATAGTAAAAATAGTAACTAACCTGCTGCTATAGTAGTTTTCTGGGAAGATTTAGGAAAATCATTCACTTTTCCACCCTAGATGTTGCCTATTTGCTTTTGGATTATCAAATTGGTTTGGTTGTATTCAAGCATTCATTGTGAATTGTGATTAATGAAGCTGAATAAATAGAAAAAATGATCATATCAGTTAGTCCTATAATAATCCAAATTATACCTACCATTATTCTAATCAAACAGATTAAAGGTCAGCCCGGTGCACTAAGCTCCCGTTATGCGCGGGGTTCTGGGAAGGACCCAGACCATAATGGTCTATTGTACGTAGTCTTACCCGCATTTCTGCATGTGGCTGTTTTCACGGCTCTAACCCGTGACCTCCTGGTCACATGGCAGACTTCCCTTATAATCAAACACGCCAAGGCTCCCCTTATAATCAAACAGATTGTTTTTTTTTTTTTTGAGCATCTAATTGATGAACTTCTAACGAGCCTTCTTCTCCTACTTTCTTTATCTTTTGAAGACTCTCTTCATTTATTTCTTTTTGTTTGCATAAGTGTTCTTTTCTAAATTTGTAGTATTTAATCCTGAAACTGCTTGCAGGAAAAAGATCCTTTATATGGTTTGGTCCAAGACCACTAGTATTGATTATGGATCCTGAGCTTATAAAGGAAGTACTCTCAAAAATCCATCTGTATCAAAAGCCTGGTGGAAATCCATTAGCAACACTATTGGTACAAGGAATAGCAACCTATGAGGAAGACAAATGGGCCAAACATAGAAAAATCATCAATCCCGCTTTCCATCTAGAGAAGCTAAAGGTTTTGTCACTGCTTTCCTTCCTCTCTTTAGATTGGTTTGCTTGTTGTTGCATTTTTCTTTTATTTTTCTTGAGTCGAGGGTCTCTAGGAAACAGCCTCTCTGCCTTATTAAATGTAGGAGTAAGGTCTGCGTACACACTATCCTCCCCAAACCCCACTTGTAGAATTCCACGGGATTTTTGTTGTTGTTGTTGTTATTATTATTATTGCTAGATAAATGAATTCTGATAAGTTGTGAATAGCTACTACATCCAGTGCTCGTCTTCTCGCAAGTATCTTTTTTCTGGGAATATGGTCAACCAAGAATTATCATGTTCGTGATTCTTCATCCACCATTCAATAAAATGTTTACTCTTGCTTCTCTGGCTACTGTCCGGCTAAAGATTTCTTTCCGCTTTAACCTGTCTTCCTTATCTTCTAATCTGGGCGTGCATATGACTATCTCGAGTGCTTTCTCCTACCTAGCTTGCTTTAGAAAAGCAGAGGAGGATTTTATGGTTGTAATATGTCGAATCTCGTCTGGTTCATCTTTTGTCAAGACTCTTTTGCGTAAGTTCCTTAACTTGCACAGGGCATTTAGTCCATGTGGCTCTTCGTGCATCCAGAGAGGACTACATTCGTGGGATAATGTCTTCGATGTATTACAACAAAATGGATCTCTTTATTATAAAGGGATTCGTCATCCTGACCTAGCTTCCCCTTAATTGTTATTTAAACACTCTTTCTTTTCATTGAGCCAGCAACTTACACTAGATGGAGATGGTACCACGTTGTATTTGTAATTCTGTACAAGTGTCGCGTCATTGACATTTTTCCTCTTTCACCATTTCTCGGACAGCTTATGCTTCCAGCATTTCGCTTAAGCTGTAGTGAGATGCTGAGCAAATGGGAAGACATTGTTTCAGCTGATAGCTCACATGAGATAGATGTATGGTCTCACCTTGAGCAATTGACTTGCGATGTGATCTCTCGGACAGCTTTTGGCAGTAGTTATGAAGAAGGTAGAAAGATTTTTGAACTTCAAAAGGAACAAGCTCAGTATCTTGTGGAAGTTTTCCGCTCCGTTTATATCCCAGGAAGGAGGTAAATTGATTTGCGTAAGAAGGAAATTCAACTTGATTAATTAATTCTTACTCTAGTGAATGCATGATAATTTATAAATGCACATCTGTTTCCCATCTTTCTTATCTAATGCCTTCTAATTTTCTGGTTTATATAACTACTTCAAAGATTTTTGCCAACAAAGAGGAATAGAAGAATGAAGGAAATAAAAAAGGATGTCCGGGCATCAATTAAAGGTATTATTGATAAAAGATTGAAGGCAATGAAAGCAGGGGACACCAATAATGAGGATCTATTGGGTATATTACTGGAATCGAATATTAAAGAAATTGAACAGCACGGAAACAAGGATTTTGGAATGAGCATTGAAGAAGTCATTGAAGAATGCAAGTTATTCTATTTTGCTGGCCAAGAAACTACATCAGTGTTACTCCTATGGTCTCTAGTGTTGTTGAGCAGGTATCAAGATTGGCAGGCACGGGCCAGAGAAGAAATCTTGCAAGTCTTTGGCAGTCGAAAACCAGATTTTGACGGATTAAATCATCTAAAAATTGTAAGTACTCTAGTTGGTTGGTTCAATTTCTATGCCATGGGTATGAACTCTGATTGTTATTGCTATTGCTTGAGTGCTTTTATTTGAAAAGACTAGTCCTTTGATACTAATGTTTGATACTGGACTAGAAGATGCCATGTGTGAATTTCTTTTGATAATCGGTGGGGTTCAGTGTGAGTCTTGAACTCGGGATGCTTGCTTTGATACCATGTTGAATTGTCTGACCATCTTTAAGCTATTAGAGATAACACGTTTTTAATTAATTATGTTTTCAACAGTGAGGATGATCTCATTATCCAAACTTCTCTCTATGTTGGTTACAAGCCAGAGTACTCTCCCCTATATAGGAATTAGTTTGGCCACAAAAATCTACTGACCTTTTACATGTCTTGTTCATACTAATATAACTGATGGAGGAGCATTGTAAATTGTTGCAGGTGACAATGATCTTGTACGAGTCTTTAAGGCTGTATCCCTCACTAATAACACTTACCCGCCGGTGTAATGAAGACATTGTATTAGGAGAACTATCTCTACCAGCTGGTGTTCTAGTCTCTTTGCCATTGATTTTGTTGCATCATGATGAAGAGATATGGGGTGAAGATGCAAAGGAGTTCAAACCAGAGAGATTTAGAGAAGGAATATCAAGTGCAACAAAGGGTCAACTCACATATTTTCCATTTAGCTGGGGTCCTAGAATATGTATTGGACAAAATTTTGCCATGTTAGAAGCAAAGATGGCTCTGTCTATGATCCTGCAACGCTTCTCTTTTGAACTGTCTCCGTCTTATGCACATGCCCCTCGGTCCATAATAACCGTTCAGCCTCAGTATGGTGCTCCACTTATTTTCCACAAACTATAATTTTGGTACTTCTACTAATATTTTAGGGTTTATTCAGACTCAGATACATGCTTCAACATGGTTTTAGAGCATCAAGATTTACATATAAACCGTGCGACTTTATCATATGAGATTATGATGTTGGATTACAGCAGGAGCAGAGCTACAGTCGAAGCTGGTCAGTTGAGCATACTTAAACAAAAATTATACTGATTTAGTCAAATATTATTTTATCGATATCCTTGAATACCTTTGTCGAAATTTCTTTATAGCAGCATACCTTTACCCTCGCTGGAATGTTCATTGCGCTAAAGTCCCACGTCTAGTTCTCACTCCTCTACAACCCTCCCCCCCCCAAGAAAACATTATTTTGCTGCTGCTGGATCAATATGATTAGTTTAAAAAGTACTCTTTATCACTTAAAGCCAGCAACAATAAAAAAAAACACTCCTTAAAGATTGTCTGAAAAAAGGCAAAGGCATACTTACTTTTATGAAAGATTGCAGAGGTTAAGGGATATGAATAATCTAATCAGAAAGAGTGTTTGGAAATTTCTTATAAAATAGCTTTAGAATAAGTATCTTTAACAAAATAATTAAACTTTCTATGGAATTAGTCCACTCAGATCAATTAAATATTAACTGTACCAAAAAAAACCGATAATACACCGATAACAACAACAATCCCCAGTATAGCTTTAGAATAAGTATCTTTAACAAAATAATTAAACTTTCTAAGGAATTAGTCCACTCAGATCAACTAAATATTAATTGTACCAAAAGAAAAAGCTGATAATACACTTATAACAACAACAACAACTCAGTATAAACTGTTTCCAGTAGATTCTCGGCATCCTTTCCCGGATGACTCGAACGCATAACCTCGCCGTTGGAAGTGGAGGGTGCTTACCATCAGAGCAACCCACCATGTCATACACCGATAACTTTTATGTCAATTAAAATAAATCAATTTCATCTTCAATCAAGTAATCTTCCTACACCAAATAAACTAAATGCATATACAGAATTGAAGATTTCAGGATTCATGAATGCAGTTTTTTCTTTGGGAATTTTAATCGTTTTCTCCGTTCAGCAAATTTTAAACGATTGATTCCGAAAATATTCTTTTCCAAGTTTTCATTTCCTCTCTCAAAAAGTTTCAGTTAGTTTTATTAGCATCCAATTATTAAAACAGATCTAGATATCCAACCACTTGAAAATCCACGAGAAGGAGAAATGTCAATAAAAAGTGCTGATATCTTCCTAGGACTACCCATCAACTCCATCCTTGGCTGCACAACACTACGGTCTGAAACATCACACAAAAAGAAGGTTCTAATTTTTCTAATGAAAATATAAAAACATTTAAATTCAGATTTTAGGGATTATTGAAGAATTCGCCAAAAGAAGTCAAGAAAAAATTAATTTCCGTTACCGGGAATCGAACCCGGGTCTCCTGGGTGAAAGCCAGATATCCTAACCGCTGGACGATAACGGATTCTGCTTATGAGTCTCTAATTTATTTATTTATTGTTAAACTTTAATAGACGAGAGAGTTTCGGTTCCTAGCCTAACCGGACACCGGAGAAATAAGATGGTTTGGAAAATATTTGAGCAAGAATCAATTATCTTGAGACAACAACATATCTAGTGTATTCTTAAAAGTGACGTTTGGAGAGGGTAGAATGTATGCAGTCCTTACACCTTCAAGAAGGCAAATCAATTATCTTGAGACGATATAATAAATCAATTGTCAATATTTTATCGCTGGTTTAGGTAAAAATTGCACGGGGCGCCCTATTTGGTCGCCCACATTTAACCTATACCTATATTTTTTAAAACTTTTAACTTGTACCCACTTTTTAAATAACTTCAGCCCCCTTTCTCCTCCTTCGTTTTCTTCTTCTTCTTCTTTCTTCTGCTACTGTTGGTGCTGCTATGGAACTTCAGTTATTAAAATTTTGTGTAGACATATTTGGTTCAATAATAAGACGAAAATTTTCTTACACTACTGTATTCCAGTCAAAAAATACGAATGGATCTGCAAGTGGTCATTATTTGGCACCATGTCCTTTTTCACCCTTAACTTCAGGCTGAAGTGAAAGCAATTCACCACAAATTTAGCATCTTGCCGATGACAAGGAAACACCAAGTTCCTTGTATAGTTGTATGCAATAAGAAATAAAATGTTCATTGCTTATATAGTGCTGAAGTTTTTACAAATGAACTAAATAACTTCAGCTCTAGAGCTGATGTTCGCCAGTTACAAAACAAAAACTTCAGCTCTAGAGCTAAAGTTCGCCAGTTACAAAAACAAAAACTTCAGCTCTAGAGCTAAAGTTCGCCAGTTACAAAAACAAAAACTTCAGCTCTACTGCTGAAGTTCGCCAGTTACAAAACAAAAACTTCAGCTCGTTACAAAAACAAAAACTTCAGCTCTAGAGCTGAAGTTCGCCAGTTACAAAAACAAAAACTTCAGCAATGCAAATAGAGAATAAAACTTCAGCTATTATGCTTAAGTTCAGCAATTACAAACAAAAACTTCAGCACACTTGCTACTTCAGGCCCGTCTACTAGAATGCTGAAATTTTGCGTGATTGTCTTTGCTACTTCGGCCCCGTATGCTAAAGTTATGCGAAAAAGCGGGTACGCTTGCAATTTTTTTTACAAAGCGAGCACAAGTTAAAACGTGACACAAAAAACGAATATAGATGCAAATCTCCTGGTTTAGATCTATGCTATTAGCTTTACTGGACAAGATATTAATTAGTAAATAACTGATGAGGGGCAATAACCTTATTATTTATTAGTTACTTGAATAATCATATCATTAGTAATCACCAGGTGCACATTGGATCATTGGAGTGCGTCTCGCTCGAAACTAGTTTATAAACAGGTACTAGTAGTAGTAGTAGTACAAGAATTCCTCTTGTCTATTATTACTCAAATTTGTTGCCTATAAAATATAAATGTGCTACTAAGGTATGTGAAAATCAACTTAACTATTATGAAAGAGTTTAATTGGTGACAAAGGCTTCAAAACTTAAGCTAATGGGTGAAGATTAATAGTATTTCGTATGTAGACAAGCCATAGCCCTATACTCAAGATTCTACTTTAGATGAAGCACAATAGTACTCTTATTCTTACTTCGCATTCAGTGTTTACACCAAATCAATAAATTAATTAATTTTAACTGTAATAATTAAAACAAAAATATGTGGCATTTAATCATCGTTAAAAAATAAATATGTATATGAAAAATATACATATCTTATATTCATATAGAAAATATCAAGTGTGCATAAATTGTTATTGTCTTTTTATTGGACCGCAAACCCATAAAAGATATTAGATATTTGTACAGTGGCATTGCCGGTTACTGCAGATCTGAAACTTGCGAAATATAGGTCAATTTCCCAGGAAATCAACCACCATTGCTAGGGGTATATAGGTTGGATTGGTTCGAATTTTTCAATTACCAAATCAAACTAATGGTGTCGGATTTTTAAATCTATAAATCAAACCAAACCAACAAAGTCGGGTTTTTTAATCTAGATTTTTCTCGAGTTTTCGCTTTTTTTCCGGCGAAGCCTTCATAGCACAAAATTTGTAACTTGTGCTGCAAATATTTCTTAATAAGATACAACTATATAATGTATTTTTCAAGAAAATAACATAATAATATGTAAAAATTTATAGCATTATACTCAAATATTCAATAACAAAAAATAGTAAAATTACATAAAGTTGATATTGCTAATTAATAAGTCATAGTGAAAATTTACATAAGCTAAAAATACTATATAGGTCATTCTAAAATAAGTATAGTTAATAAGTATTATTTAATTACATAAATATGCATTAAAGAAAAAGATAAACTGAGTTGTGCATTTTCATTATAAACCAATATCCAATAAAAAAAAATAGGTATCCAACATTATCATCATTCCTAGCATTGAATTGAATTCTTTTGTTAGGATTAGTATTGCTTTGAACTTTTTTTGAGTTACTACATTTATGGGCTATAAAATTTATTTACCATTCAAGAATGTTAAGTCCAAACTTGAAATAATATGTTAAAAGATAAAACTAAGAAAAAGTTTAATAAATATGTATAAATTACATCACAATAAACATCTTATCTATGTGCTTAAAATATTTTTATAAATTATATAAATGAACTATTGGGTTGGTTGGTTTCCGTTTGACTTTTTTTTGTTAAAACTAAATCAAAAACTAATTGTGGTCTGATTTTTTTTTTTCAATACCAAATCATAATCGATTTTTTTTTCTTCGATTTGACTCAAATTATCGGTTTTGTACGGTTTATCGATTTTTTTAAACACCCCTAGTTTAAAATAAGAGTTGAGTGGTATTCCATATTCGATTGAGTTGCTTGAGAACCTAAGGCAGCAAATTTAAGTGTGGCCAACTTACAACGAAGTGTTTTAGTAGTTTCGTACATATTTTGAGCGATAGGGATAGTTAAAATTTATATAACCAACTTCAATTTGTTGGAAATTAAGACTTAAACATTGTTGTTGTTTTTGTAATTCCATTATTTAGAAAGTCACGTGGAAAAATTAGAACATCATAAGATGTAACGCTAGAGTATGAAATTAGCGACGTGTATAATTCAATTCAACTTCCTTATTATGATGTCCTTTTCATGCTAGAAATAGACCACACATCTATTAAAGTACTTTTCACTTTTTTCCTGTAAACTTTGTGATCCAAACTTAAAGACATATGGAACTAGTTGTTAATTAAAGTATCAATTTAATGCGCCTAACATGGACCAATAAGCTGAGCCTGAAAAGTATAAAGAGTCGTACAGATTACTTAACACTATTAATTAGGGATAAGTGAGTCCAAGAGCAAAAGTCAGATGTAATTGGGGGTAAGTGATTCCTGTTCATATTATTTGTCTTTTAAAGTTATTACACGCCCTATAAAATTGTGTTTTTCTCAAATAAGAAATCTACCATGAATATTTGACGAGGGATAGTTGGCCAATTATGCGCTGAATCATAGCACTACGCTTTAGAATATAAAGAGTTGCAAGATTCTTATGCTTCACATCAGTAAACGATCAGCCTCTGCTTTAATTTTGTCACATATAAACTATCTTTCAAATTACTTTTTTCTTCATATTCTATTAAAAACCTATGCTTTTTCTTGCTGATTGGGCCACATGTTACGTTAATAGAGCAGCAGAATACCCAAAAAAAAATGCCTCTTTTAGTTTTTAATACATATTCCCTACTACTTACTCACTAATTGGCTAGCTA